GATACGTTGACTACATCTACCAATTCCAACGTGATTTGGTACCAACCCAAAGTATTTGAGCGATTAAAATTCTCTATATTATCTTCACGTAAACCCGGAAATGGTTCACACCAACACATTATCACCTAGACGGGTGCTGATCAAGTATTACTGTGGCTTTAGCATTGGGGCGCATTGTGGGAAGTTCAGGTGGTTGAGGAGGAGAGACAGAAGGGCATGATTGATGCTAAAACTCAAAACCAACGAATGGTTGATCTACAACACGCGGATAGAAGACACAGGGTGCTGTCGGATTACATTTCATCATATCGATACGCAGTAGTAAACCACAGATCAAAAATACATAACTTGAATGAACTGGCTGCTTCATCGGTTATTACGTATGATAATCTCGCGTTTAACATAGTAAATGTACGAATGTGTTTGTAGTTGAGTGCAGCACAAATTGTGCCCCAATCAGTACCATTATCCATAACGTACGAACTAGGAGCGTTGGTACCACGCACCTGACAGGTGTAGTCACCTTCTAGCCACCGCTGCCACACCCATTAAAAGGGTCGAGCCCCGTTGAATCAGTGGTGGAGCGGGATCTGCAAAATCTTCGAAAATGCTGGATCTGGCTCGCCACTGTGCCCAGGACACCGACTATAGGAGGGGTACTCCTATCGATCCGTGTTCCGCTGAACTTCCTCACCTCCTGTATCCATCGGTAGGCTGGATCTTGCTCCTCCGGTTACTGCAGGAGAGGTCCAAGCGTTGAAGATCTGGAATGTCTTGGCGAGACGCAGGGATGTTGTAAACAGCGCGGAATGTCTTTGCTCTGCTGCCAGGTAAGTTGATCTGGGGTCCACGTGAGTAGTCGAACATGGATCACCGTTGGCGGACCTTGGACCCGGCCGGGTAGGTTGCCTTGGTGTGTTGGTGGTTGGTTGGGGTTGATCTTGCTGTCCCTTTGAGTTGCTTGCAGTCTCCTATGACTGGATCTTGGAGGTAGTTAAGAGGTTGATGGAGGCACGGCTAGGCACTAAATGCCGTGGATCCGGAGCTTGTACGTATAGAATAAGTACTAGGTAGCTGGATCTGGCCAATATATTATCCAGTTATCCGAACTAACACTAATACAATATTCCTAATACGAGATCACCTTATAGGGTCAATGTATGTCGTGATCCGAGGTGTCCGTAATACACTAAGTGTGGACCAAATAAAGAAAACCACTTGTACCCAATGATGCAAATTTGATTCTCCCTTATTCCTAAGCCTTTGATCCTGGTTCATCCTATCCTCTACTACCTGGATCCATGTACCTTCCTTTTTCGCAGCCGCTTATCTTCGGATCTTGATGTACACTGCCGATTACATACCTTGTTTACTTGATCCGAATTGGTCCTGAGTAATCATATCCGGATCAGGTATAGTCGTACCCAAATCAAGTGCCTATAATTACGTCACCCCAGACTGCTCCAATTGTTTCCGAATCAGTTTGATCTGAGTCCACCACACCTTCTCAGATCTGGATCCACGGTAATTACCGTAGATCCGGGGATACCTGTCATTTGTCTTGATCCGATTACTTCCTTTCCGCAATTTTCCGAAATTCACTTCACCACACGTCAAAAAATTGCGGTCCTGGGTACCCGAATCGAGTTGATAGACTCCGGCAGTCACTATCTAGATAAATAGTGCCACCACAGCGCCACAGGATTCTCCATCTGCACCACAGTGCACAACAAGGCACACGAATAACATTGCCACACCTAGCCGGACTGGCTCGTAGCTAGTAACCTGCGTCAACCACAATTCGTGTCACAGGTGCGCCATAGTGCATTACAGCGACGCCACCGTGTGCACTAATGACGTTTGCACGCCCCTGCCTGCTCAGTCAGTAGCTGGGTGGAGGACTTTTTCGAAGATGTCGACGTGGTGTGGGTCAAGGGAATGCGCTTCCCGTGGTGGTCACAGTAGTCACTACATGCTACAAAGACAAAGGGTCTCTGAAACCCTCTAATGTTGGTTTGAGTGGTAGAGACTAAAATATAAAAATGTAAGGAGAGAAGACAAAACACATCCGTAAGGTAACAAAACAGCTACAGAACAGTACACGTTAAAAATTCGCGATCGGATCCGTTTTGGGATTATTTCAAAAATATGGACTTAGTTTGTCTTCCCCCCCAACATTCGTTGCTGAGGTAGATCCCCACCAAGTACTGAATGAAATAGATCACACTGACTTTGGCGTTGATTAAGGGACGACCACGTACTCTAGATTCGACCTTGAACTCAACATTTCCCAAAATACATGGCGCTCCATTCAATATGTTCAATCAACTCTCTTCTTCTTAACTCTCTTCTTCTTTGATTCTAGGGAAGAAGACTAAGAAAACATCTAATTGTAGGAGATACTAGACACAGTTTGCTGAAAAACCCGCGCTGGAAAATTTGGGCCCCTTGTGAGGATATACGTTCTTCGGGACTGATTGCTGGTAATCCCATGCAATTATTTGCAAGTTACTCAGCAGCGGTCGATATACCAGACTTGATATCAAATTAGGAAATTAATCATGAAGGTAACTTAGGGCCGTTCTTAACCGCGGATCGCGATCCCAAGGGTTAGGGCTGTGTGGCAAAATGGCATCCGTTTTTTTCTTAACCGGATCGCGATATGAACAACTGCAAAAAGATTCCGCCAAAACGCAACATGGTGCGGAGCACCAATTGCCTATCAGTCGGCGAAACTGCAGCTGCTGCCGACACGGTGGCCACGACAGAGAGATCCAGGTGGACTATGACGATCGACCTGGCATTGCTCAAGCGTCCTGGGCGGCCTCCATCGTCGGGGGAGTACAGAAAGTGGAGCCTCCAGCTCAAGTTGGAATGCTCGGAACGCAAGCTGAACGTCATCAAGAACACCAAAAAAGCGACGGCAGCGTCGCGATACTCGAAACTTGGGACTCCACCAAGGATGAAGTTGAAGCTTTACTGCTGCGCCAGCGGAAGCAAACGAAGAGCGAGAGCCACTAGGAAGCGAAACGTACCAAGGGGTGTGTGTTTAGACTGCTGAATGTACTGTTCTCGGGTCTATTCTACGAGGCACTTCTTTGCACAGGATATCAGCTCTCGCGAGAGAAGATTGATCAAGGGGGCTCTACGTTTTGGGCAGACGTTGCTGTAGCATTGGGACCTGACACTGGTGAGTTTAACATCATAATTTTCCCACAATCTATTTTCGGGAGCATTGATGCCTCTTTTGCAATGGTTCATTCGGCTGCAAAGCTGAAGCGGATGTGCAAGGAGGTTAGCAGTAGCTTTTCTAGCGTGGAAGCCAAGTCGAATGTGTCTGGGCGGGGAAGTAATGACTTTTGGGACTTCTGCAGTGAAAGAGCAGGTGTGTATTATCTTGATAGATGGTGTGAGCATCGCCGAGGTTGAAGAAAGTTTTGCTCTGCGAGTATTTACCCTGATGACGGAGATCACTCGACGAAGGAAGGACAGCTTACAAAGCCGACCCTGAACCGAAAACGCCAAAAGACGTCGCACTTATCGGAGATTCTTGAACGCGTGAATGCGCTGCTGGAGAATGAGACGACTGACATTTCTGCAGCGCAGGAAGACACCTGGAACGAGCAGAGAATATTTATTCAAGAACAGCGCACAGCTCAGAAACTTACTACGCTGTACTCCAGGCTTGATCGCAACGACGTCGTCACCAAGAAGCTCTTGGTCCAGCGTCAGGAGTTCATCGCGCAGGGACTTGGTGCAGCTGAATCTGGAGAAGCTCTTGCAGTGCAGCAGCAAAAGAAGCAGACACTGAAACTCCACATCAGCGAACTCGAGTGTGAGCTAATGCACGGAGTCCACTAGCAGGCAATACTTTTGTTTGAGAGCTTCTAACGGACTCGGGGACGACGAATATCAAAGTTTTGAATGTGTGGCATGACAATGTCACAGAGGATACATCCAAGCGCACCAGGACGCAAGACGTCAGTCTTGGTGGAGTTGTCGCTAGGTTAGTACCAGCTTTCGGATAGGCTGTGATAATCAGCAGTAACTGCGTGTACGCGTCTAGCTGCATTTTGATTCTTGGTGCGCTCACCAATACTAAAATTATTCAGATCATGCATGTCTTGAGCACCTTTTTAACGTTCACAAAGTCGACAACAAGCGGACTTGAAAAACTGCCATTTTTCACCAGCAAACCGAACGCCATCTCGATTCTAATCCGTAGCTGACTTAGAAAAAATTGTAGTCCGAGTGCGGCTTGCTTTTGATCTTAAGCTTGTTGAATGGTACCAACAGCGAGTTCGAGAGAGGGTATGCGTTATCCCCAATAAAATGTAGAGACCAGCGGGTAGCTCCATGATGGCGTTGCTTAGCTTCCACTTCTTAAATACAATCGAGTCTCCCACTTCCCCGGCGAGTGAAAGCAATAGCCTGTGAAGCGCGACAGCGTGTCACAGATAGCTTGCACATTGACTCCATATCTATGGTAGTGGCCAGAGAAAAACGAAGTCACGTCGGGCACCTCATTCGAGCTTGGTGCACGAATCTCGCACAGCCACCGGTCGTTACATTCAACGCTTCCAGTCAAAATGTTGCCCTTGCTGATTTCTGCGAAACCGTCAGGTAACTCAAACATGCGCTGCCGAGACTCGGTTGGATCCCGGATCCTCAGCTCCGAGCACTAGCTTATGGCGTCCATTACGTCATGCGTCACCGTGTAGATGGAAGAGATTCCGAGGCAATGTGTCACCTGGTACACACTACCTGTAAACCACGCAATTGTCATCTGCAGCATATTCTCCGGTGTTATTGGGTCCGTCCCGGTGCGGCGGCGTGACTGCAGCTCATCTCGGACCAGAGCAGACCTTATGAACGACAGCAGGAGCTTGAAAGACTCCACCTTCATGCGATAACAGCGCTGAAATTAGCCTTCCAGCAGCAAAGTCTGCTTGTGTACGTCCCAATCGAGACGTCGACGAGAGATGCACCCCTCCCAGTCGTCAGGGGTCACCTTGCATCTGGCGAATCACCAAATTCGAGTCACCACAAATTACGACGCTCCCCCTGTCCAAAGTCGAGAGTAAATCAAAAAAACGTATCAGTCCGCGGTATTCCGTCTCGTTCATCGTCAAGTCAGGCATGTACTCAGACATGGCCTCTACGACCGTCCATTCCGGGAGTTTCCAGACGACTGCGTTATATGCGCCGCCACTGCGTTTTACTCGCGCAGATCCATCAAAACTCACCACCAAGAGATTCTCGTCCTGTTCGATCGGCGGCGAAGGCATGGTGATCATTTTGCGTGGCTGTTTGTTGGGTGCTATCGCGACTAGGGCTTCATCTACATCGACTCTGGGAGTGGTGCTAGCTGCGACTGTTCCAAGGATTTTTTCTTCGACTTTTACACGTTTGGTGACCTCCAACGTCCATCCCGACAGCAGTGCTGCCCACCTACCTAATCGACCGTCAAACCCGTTCAACTTGAGCAGCCAAGGCAGAGTTAAGAATCGCGACAGGACCTTGATCGATCTGGTTACCAGTTGTGACTAACAGACGTCCAAGATCCGCAGAAGAACCAATACCTCTTAATCCACCACTCCATAGTTGAGTTCGTTTGCCTTCAGTGTGCGACTGGTGAAGTCACCGGATGGTATACACCTTTGTGTTCCTGTATCAATGCCGCCGCCGATATAGCCCATTTGTTCGAGTAGAGCACGATGACGGGAGTACGTTCTGGGACGAAGTGTTTCAAGACTGGCGTGGCGATAATCTTCGCTTTCAACATAGTGAATGCATTCTTCGCTCTCGCCCACCTATCGCGCTCGCCCGCAGTTATTAGGCCGTCATCAGCCTGCGTCTCCCGAGTCCCTTCTGTGTTCATCCTGGCGATTTCGTGAAAGTCCGCCTCCCGCTGCTCGTACAGGATCACGGCGTAGACTGCGAAAGCCTCAACGAAACGACTGTAATAATCCAAGCTTCCGAGGAATGACTGCATCGCTTTCAGCTTAGTGGGGAACGGAAGGTTGGCGATTGCTTCGAGTTCCTTCGGTTTTGCTTCCAGACCGGCCGGGATACTTCGTGTCCCAGATATGCCACCTTGTGTCGACCCCAGTAGTTCTTAGCTACACTGATCGACAAGTTCCATCGATCACAGACGTCGAGCAGCTTGTCGACCCGTTTGCACATGCTATCCCACGTGTCGTCTGTCACGAGGATGCCGTCCACGTATGACCTCCGCCCGAGGACCGATGGCTTAGGTTCCGGCTCCGGCTCTCCTTCCTTGAAGACGTCCATGCGGTCCGATCTATCCTGATCGGGCTTGATGTGCATGTGACCGTATATTGCATTGTCGACGGTCCGTTGATAGATCTTAGGTGCGTTCTTCAACCTGAACGGCATCTTCGTCCACTCGAATAGCCCAAACGATGTGATGAACGCCGACACCAGCCTTGCTCGCGGGGTCATTGATACCACCCAGAAACCAATGGTCATATCAAGGAAGCAATACCACAGTGCCTTATCTAAATCTTCGAGGAGGTCGTTGATCAACGGCATGGGATACACCATCAGTCTCGTCAGGCTGTTCACCACCTGGTAGTCGAACAGAGGCGGATGTCGACTCCGTTAGCCTTGATGATGACTACGATGGGTGACGCCCAGGGCGAGGTGGAGTTGGTGATGATCTTGGCCGACAGCTGTTCCTTGAGGAGCATTGACAGCTGCTCGCGAAATTGCGGCGCTACCCGTCGGCAGCGCTGTGCTACCGGTTTAGCAGTTCCGACATCAACGTCGCAAATAGCTCCGTAGGCGGCTGGTGGTAGAGCATTACCGGCTCCTATCAGCAAGTGGCGTCGCTTCCAGATGATGCGACGAAGTCGCTCACGTTCCTCCGGAGTCGCGTGTGGATCATCTACTCCTATATCATAGATGATGACTTCTTTTGTGGTAGCTTCCACTTCCGGCAGGACGGCCATGTTATTCTCGATGTCTTCAGGGAAGATATCCCCCCCTCGTGATAGCATACAGCTTCATCCATGTCGTCGTCAGCTTCTCCTTCTGGTTCAACTAGCGTCCCTTTCTGTTCCATCGATCGCGGCTGCTCTCGATGACTACCGGTTTCTCCCTTTGGCTCAGTCATATTGGTATGGCTCTCTTCCTCCGGCTGAAACCCTGCCGATTCTTCGCCCGAGGTCCCTTGTTCGATTCCTTTGCAGGTGTCGACAGGACGATCATCGTCTTCCGGTGTTCTTGTCTACCCGATAGGATCTTGGTCGGCTGCTTGTATTGGGGCCTGTCTACCGTCGGTTCTGTCGCAGTTTCGACCACCTCATCCGCAGCCTGCTGTTCAATGGTGGTTTGCAGAGCCAATTTTTGCCACTCAGCGTATCTCTGTGACCCGATCGAGGCAAAACTTGGCATTCGCAGTACGTGTCTCTTTGCCAGTCAGATACCGACTCGAGTATCGCGTTGTAACGTCACCGATCGTTCTGACACACAGGTACTGGGTACGGCCGAGTCCCTTGATTGCGGTCGGTACCCACTGTTCTCCACGGGTGACCCACAGTTTCTGTTTGTCAGGCGTAGGTCTGCGGAGGGCGATCTCCACCGATCCTGCAACCGGAATCGTGTAGTGTTGATCGAAGGTGATCAACCTTGAGCTCCCCTTAAAGAGCTGACGACGTCCGGACAACTGGAACCTTTCTTCGTCCGGGAGGCACAGCGACCCGTCGGCCATGTCAAGGCGGATTCCTGCCGGTACCATGAAAGCCATCCCTAATATCGCCTCTTGGCCTGACAGTTATCCGACCCAAGCGTCAAAGTAGTACACGTATGCTCCCGCAAGCGTGATCTTGATCCGGGTACGTCCCTCTGTCATATACACATTTTCTCCAATGCCAACACACTCTTGCTTTTGGCTGTCGTCTATAGCGCATCCGACCTTACGAGCAAAGGTAGAATCGAATCGACAATGATGACTCCAGCTCCTGAGTCGTAAAGGTGGGTGAAGTTTTCGTTGTTGACCTTGGCGATTGACTTGGCTTGCTTGAACCATTTACCTGGAGCGTGAACTTCCAGTACCCTCGCGATTTTCCTGGCAGTAGCAGTGTACTCCCTGTACACAGACAGTTTAGTTAGCTATACGTGTTAGTATCTGTTTGTTAGTGTATAGTAATTTTTACAAACATGTATCTACCGAACAAACAAGGAGAATTTTTTTAAAAATAGTTACGATTCCGAATGAAAAGAACATTTGTATTTCTAGTGAAACGGGCTGGGCCAAACTCAGTATATATGTTGACATGATACGTAAGTTTGAAGAAGGGGAAATGAATGCTGCGGCAGCGTAACTCTCATTGCCGAATGGTGAGGATGGTCGTAGGTTGTATCGATTAATCCAGTACGATACAAACGTTAAAAATCGTAATTTACTGACTTCCTTACAAACACTGAATATACAGTTAGTAAACAGTTCGTTAGCGTACAGTAAATTTCACAAACATCTAATCGCCCCACACTAGGCAGTAGGTCCAGTTCCATGATCACATCTGATCGATAATAATCATTCTCTCGCAAACTTGCGACTGTAAAGGTAAGCTTCTCGTATTTACATGTATTGTCGGTCAGCTTACTAACCTTCCGTGTCTTCCGCTTCTCGACGTATGCATAAATGCAGATCTCAGAACGCTCGGCTCGTACCAGATTCCAACCTGGCGAGCGTTCTAATTTAGCATCTTTTCGGCATTAGCTGGCAACATTTCCGCATGCTTGTTCAGGAGGTACCATTGATGGATCAAGTTGTAAAATTCCTCCAGCGGACACTTTCCGGGTTCATGCATCTCCCGCATGCGCGACAGACGAAACGGCAATGATCGGATGGATGCCCCTTCCTGCCGCACTTCTGGTACGTCAGCCGCTTCCAGCAACCCAGGTTGTCGTGCTTCGTTGATCCGCAGTCGGTGCAGTTCTTCGGTCACATTATGGGATGATCGACTGTGCCGTCTCTGTGCGTCGGCGTGATCGTGCGGTTCTCCCGGTTCTTGGCTTCCGCCAGGTACATTCGTCTTCTTGATCCGAAGTACTCGCATCCGATTCCCACTCGCTGCCGTCTTCTGCTACCCGGATCACCCGCACTGCTCGCGTATTCTTTGAGGACGCTGACGGAGGTTCCGGTGCAGCCTTCTGCCGGAACTTGTTTGTTCCCACATGGGTTTTCCCTTGACGGGCTTTCGCACGTTGTCGCGCCCATAGAGTCTCCTCCAGATCTTCAGGGTTGGTTAACCGCAGCAGCGTCAGCTGATCCGCCAGCTCTCGATCATCCAACGTCTCGATGAAATGCTCGACGTGCTCGCACCGTGTGGCTAGAGGTTCATCCTTGATCAGCAACTTAGCTCGCAAGCCCGCCACGTTGAGTCTGAGTAGCTATTCCGAGGGCGACTCGTCCGATCGTTTGTTCGCGTGGTAGTACTGCCGCGCGACAGATACTTCTCGTCCGCAGTATTGCGTCTGGAACGCCTCAAACAAGCTCTTCCAGTTGCTCCTCGTTGATCGACTCAACTACCGGTACCAGCTGCGTGCCGGTCCAGTGAGGATATCGCCAGGTACCTACATTTTGCGCTGTCTGGAGCTTGATCGCGGACGAACACGGACTTCACTTTGTCCAGCCAACTCCTCGCGCGGTCCGCGTCGTGATCTTTGCCAGAGTATTCCTTCAATTCCGAGATTGCCGACCCTCGTATACGTGGCGTCGTCGTCGAGGGTGCAGAAATCGGTCCTGCGGATGCGATCACCGCTTGGCCAGGGGTAGGTTGTCTGGATCGTACTCTCCGTGCGAGTCGTGGTGGGACTCCACTGATTCCATCTCCACATCTTGGTTGTTCATCGTGTGCCGACCGGCCGTTGGTGTCGATTCTTCGGTTTGTTTCTCCTTGAGGTATCGATTCATGGCTGCGTTGAAGAAGGTCTGCATCTGTTCAGAGCTCCTTGACGTCACTGCCGGTGCGGCCATGGGTGTCGGTTCATGTGGGAATCGATCAGGCTTAGTGTTAGCCTCGCGTTCTCGTAACGTCTCTGCTCCGGACGGACCAAGCGCCATCCGCTGCAGATCAACGGAGCTGTCCGATTCTGCTTCCGACGTGGCCGACGCGTACTGCGACGACCCTGTCTGATATTCTGGGTTACGGGTTGGTCCCAGTTTGGCCGTCTCCGGTTGTGTGACTGATCCGACCAGCGGTGCAGCTTTTCGTACAGTGTTCTCGCCGAGCGTTGGGTCACCGGGGTCTCGAGATCAAAAAGCTCACTCGCATTGAATGCCCTGGCGTGATGCCTGCATCTTTCGGCGTTCGCAAGAGTTAAGTCGCCGCCTCTAACTGTTGGGGCATCTCCGCTGGTTCCAGCGTCGGACCTTGGAGTTCTCCGATCAACATCGGTCTTAGTATCTTCATCACTGGGTCGTCCAGCAAGAACGATAAGAGGTCTTTTTTGTAGAAGGTCTGCGCCAGATCTTCGTTGGTCCATTGTTGGTCCCCGCGGTCCTCCGTATCGGAGTCCGGCTCCTTCAGTTGCTTTCGAGCTGGTTTCGGTTCTTTCTCTTCACGGCGTCGCTCGAGGCCGGCGGGGTGTTTGGGGATGAGGCTTGCGCCGTCCGAGCTTCACCCTGCTGATCGCGACCTGCGTCACAGTCCGCGGGGGCTCCCAAGGGAGCCTGGGGAGGAGGTCGAGGTTTCTCTTCCAGGTTCATGTCAGGATCTTCCTCCTTGGCATCGTCAGAGTTCCTCCCAGCACTCAAACGTTGCGTGTATCCTGCTTCACTCAGCAGCGTCTGCGGCCATGCACCTTCCGCTGACGCCTCAATCCCTGGTTCCAACTTGATCTTGGTGGCATCTTCATCGGACTCACGGTGAAATCCCTGTGAGTCACCAGAAGATCCGGACACGCGCATCATTGTGGCGGAGTGGTTAGCAGGAATTGCTGACTGCCTGGGTCCAACTCGTTACAGTGCCTCGGACGACCGACTAACGGAGGGGGTACTCCGAATGTCCGCTGACGCTGAGGTTCTTCTCACCTTGTGTACCCGTCGGTGGGGCGAGGTTGCACTCTTCCGGTGACTTGAGGATTGATCGTGGGAACCGTATGGACGGTACTTGGGATTGTTGACTGCCACGCGGATACTTCTTCACGCGGCGATCTGGTATGGGGTGTAGGTTGGGCGATCAATCTATGCGTCCTTGTGTGTGTTCTTGTTCCTTTCCGTTGCTTACCGCTTCAGATAGCGGGATCTTCGGGGGGTTGGCCGAGCCTAGTCAAGTGGCGTAGGGGTCGACGAGTTGTCCTTCTGCAAAGCGGGGTGGCGTCGTTGGTCTTCAGGTGGACCAATATACGTTCCCAGCGTGGTAGAGGTTGCCACGTGGCTACAGCAAGGGGGCCCAATGTGTGAGGTCCAAAGAATGTTTAGAAGTCTATTGATCAACAAGAGGTGTTTCGATCAACGACCATCGATCAACAGAAGGGGAGTCGAAGGCCGCAGGTTGGATGGGCAAGGCTGATATGGGTACAAGGGTACCATGTTTACGACAAATGTAGGCACAGTTCGGAATGAGTGGTTGTGGAGATAGGCTAGGAAGGGATAGGTGATCGAGGTCCCTCTTGTTGATCGAAGATCGAGGTGTAGGGCAGGGTTTGATTTGTGCGGCCAATTCCAACTGGTATCTACGTCACACCATGTGCGACACGTCTTGCACCTATCCTCACGTTTCCTACGATCATCTGGATCCCGGCTGCACTTGATCGAAATCCCGTGGTCACTCTACGTCAAGATCTTGTAGCTAGGTCACATTTATACTTAGTTTTGTATACTTTCATAGTAGGAATTAGTATGAGAATTAACGCCCAACAGGGCGAAGAACTGAACAGAATTTACCACGTGAAGTTACTATCCGACTTTGGATAAGTCCGAAGTGCGAGGCCGCTTGGAGTAGCGTGCATGTCTGTCGGTGAACTAGCTTGAGACTCCTGTTCGCCCGTG